AAAATCTATGCATTTATTATTTTGAAAATACAAAAATTAAATATTTTCTTTAGAAATTAAGAAAATTTGTAAGATAAAAAAAAATATAATTATTACAGAACATAATCACAGGGGGAAAAAAGATAAGCAACTTGGCTCTGGTTTCATCACCATTGGTTGGAACATTCAATTGCAAAATTATTTGTCATATATTCTAACATCACTGTTGTCACTGTCGCTGTCTTATTTTCATCATCAATATTACAGTGCGGATAAGCTTTTCTGTGTGCTAAAAGTGAAAAATACTCCACTGCCTTCGCAATCGAGTATCTGAGAGTCTTCCATGCATGATTATCCAATTATCTTCAACACTTTTTCTTGGTACACATCAACACTCTTTTTTATTATTGTGTCTGTTTCACAAATTAAATGAACTTATTCTGTTGGGGGCTTCGTAAAAGAATAATTTCATCAGTTTTACAAAGCTTTTTAATTTTCAATGCAAACTTTGATACAATAATTGCATCTCCCTTATTCGTTATAATTTAAGGTTGCAATATATATAACTTTTGAGCGAATGATATTACAAAGCTTCTTACTCTGTGCATATCAGCACACTTTGATTACCTAATGCGAAGTGATAAGCACAAGTCAAGGTGTTTATTAACCCTTCTTTTAATATATATATATATATTCTGATAAGTAAAAATATATTAGGGAAAGTACAAAGGCATTCTGACCTATTAAATCAATATATTGGATGTTACAAAACTACACTACTCTGATAAAAGACATCATCAATTCCTAATATTTCTGAAACTAGAAAATGCAATCATATTATATATAAACTATTGCTCCAGAGAATAGACTGCTTGTAGGGAAAAATTCAAAAATGTTGCGCTCAGTCCTATTCTTATATGGTGCCCTTAATCCAAAGAAATAGTAGATGCAATAATACTTACGAATATTAATCGCAAAATGACATTAAAATAACTAAAGAATATAATGAATCATTTACATATACATCTTCAAGCAGTAGCAAAAGTCAAAAGGCATAAAATATTTAATTATAATTAAACATTAAAACTTCCTAATAGTTCTATTTCATAGGAAGTTAGGGGAATCAGTAGTATTGGTATTCTTAGATGCAATTTTGGTACTCTCTGCTGAACGTATGCGTGTCCAGGGCCCCGGAGACATGCATGTGACTGCAATAATGCATAACTACAAACATATAGGTCCACGTAAGAGTACAACAGTGTACATATAAAACCCTCATCCCTTACCATTTTTATGTACTCAACGATAAATTTATAATAATAATAATAATAATAATAATAATAATAATAATAATAATAATGTAATGCGAGGTTAAATTGTGAGAAGACTTGCTAATTTATTGAGGCAGTTGACTTTTTATCGTTAATATCTTCATTTAGTCGAGTCTTAATTGTCTCTTTCTTCCTTAATGATTTTCTTTTGGGGTGAATAATTCTGGATGCTTTTAGCAACTTTTGTTGTTCCTTGATATCTGAATAACAAAAATTTAAGCCCATCTATGCATATTATGTTATTTTAATTGCGCGAATGTTGCAATCAATGAGCTGATGTACAGGAAATTTTTATTATAAAAGCTACCTGAATGCATGAAGCGAGCTATATCTGGTTTGCCGTTTAATTAATTGCATGAAGCTTAACGTTAGTGTCTTATGCTAAAACCTTGTTACTATAATTTAGACAAAAAAAAAAAAAAACATTTGCATGGGTTATTGCATGAATCATCCCAATCGTATAAGGTCAATATATGGGACCAATAAGTTATATAGAATTATTGAGTTTGTTAATGATCAGTTTAGGCAAAAAGAATTATATAGCTGAGTTATAATGGTAAAAGCATGATTAAAAAGTGGTAGGAGTTAAAGTCACGAGCTCAATATATTTCATGAAAAGCACGGACTGATGGCCTCAAGGTAAGCGGCATACACGATATTCATTTTTTGGGTAACGAAGCTAATGGCTAGTGATTAATATTACATTTTTCAGTTAGATAATTAAGAATAAAATACGCTAATTGCTTTTTTTTTCTTTAAATATTTCAGGTTTAAATCTTGTCAATAAAAAAATAAAATTAACAGAAATTTACTCTTTTGTGTAGATCTATTTGACTTAGATTAAATGTGTTTTTTAAAAATACATTAAATTTTATAAGCGTGAATTTATCAAAAAAATATAATTAATAATATTAAAATAAGCATAAATTATATAATGACTATTTAAAATTCAATCTAAACATTTCTTAATTAAATTTTAATATTGCTTCTAGTACTTTCCCCACCTTTTACAATCTTATGCCTCCTCAGCAACTTCATGTATAGACAAAACTATCCTTTTCAGACGTCTCGGTATCTTAATTAAAACAACCAAAGGAAAACAAATAAGCACCTTGGCTCATGTTTTATTCACCGTTGATCTGCTACAATGGCAAAATTACCTTTCTTATGTTCTGAGTTGCTGTCTCATTTTCGTCATCCACATCTTGCTTGAATAAGTCTTTCCGTGTGTTAAAACTTAAAAGTCAGATAGACCCTTCACTACCATTGCAATAAAAAATTTGAGAGTTTTCAAAGCATGGCTATCCCATTCTTCAATGTTATTCTTGGTAGTTGGTAGACAACGACAAAGTTGTGACAGTGTTTAACGTAGACTACTGTGGGAATTTTACAAAATGAACTTGCATGGGATTTCGAAAGAGAGACCACATGTTTATCTCAATCTGTTGCAATGAAGTCAAAGCTAATTTAAGGCCTTTGGCGCGTTGATTTTTCCCCTATATACCCCTTTCAGTGTTGGATTTTGGCATTTTAATTTGTGAGTCTACGGCTTATATAATTTTAATCGGTGAATATCACAAATAATACTTAAACAAGCGTATATAAATTTTGTCCCAACATCAATCAAATCTTATCTTCAACTATAAAAATTAAATTTTTAACATATTATTTAGTATTAGATCTATTTTAATATTTTTTTAAAAAAATTCTAACTTTTCCTCTATCACTTTTTATTAAACTAAAAGTTATATCATTTACTCTCCTTATCAGTATTAATAACTATTTTTACACTTAATCAAATAATTTTATAACATTTTTTATAATCTTTTCATAATATTTTTGTAAACAGAAAAAGAAAATACCTCTTTACTCAAAATTTAATCCACGTCTTTATAGTATTCATTATATTTACACATTAAAAAAAGGTTATTATACATTTTTACCATATAACTTTTGAATGCATTTTAAAGTATCGTCTAAGTTATAAACTTAAATCAGCCTTTGAACGACAAGTTTTATAAACTCAAGCGTTTTGTGTACAAAAGTATTAACTAGTACGTGTTCTATATATCTGCATTTAATAATATGTTCGATGAAACGGTTTAATTATTACATTGTCGAGACACATGATGAGCGAGGGAGAGAAAGAGGACAATGATCCAGTTATCTCCAACGAGGAGGCTCGAGTTGCATGCTATGAGGCCTGGATCCTTGATACAACACCGATACGATACGATACCGATACGGGGATACAGAAAAAAATTTAAATTTCAAGATACGATACGGCTTAGATACTTTAACATAAATTTAATGAAATAATATTTATAAAGAAATATTGATAATTAATTTATATTAATGTGTTACATTTACATATCAAAGATCACATTTTACAAAAAAATACATGCGATCATATCTTTCCTTATCTATGAACAAATCAAAAAATTACATACTTTACCCCTATTCAAGTTAGAATTCCACAAAAGAAATGGTAGTTCTATCCAAAAGAAATATAGAACTATCACAAAAAAAATGTCCTGCCTTTATACTATTTAATTCTAACATTGTCACACTCATTTTCTCCATCTCCATCATCTACAAAAAACATAACTTCTAAGTCTAGTTCATCAAGAGATAATTCAGCCAATTCAAGAAATCCAGCACCATTATCAAGTGGATCGTGTACATCTCCACTAATATCCCACATCCTTGTCTCTCCTTTAGTATACTTTTCTTCTTTCCTAGACAAAAGACGAAGGTTGGAATGCACATAAACCAAATCCTCAGCCCTTTTTGGATCTATTTTGTTTCTCTTCATAGAATGAATGAATGAGTACGTACTCCAATTCCTCTCACAGCAAGATGAGGAACAAGGTTGTACAAGAAGCTTTAAGGCAAGCTTTTGAAGTAAAGGGGTAGAAGATCCATGCATTACCCACCAAGATTTTGGGTCCAATGTCCACCTATCTTTAATCGAATCAAAAGAAGCAAAGTCAGCTGCACAAGATGAGAAATTTGAGAATTCAACAAAAACATTTTTTCTTTCTTCAGCATTAGGAAAATATCTCTTCAAACATTTGTTCCTTTCTCTCTAAACTTCATCATCTTGATGTGGAGGAACTCTATTAGGAGCTTCTCTAAGCCATTCTTCACTATAATACCTACATATGATTAAAAAATTTGTTATAGTATGATTTTTATTTTTCAAGAGACAGTAACTAAGTTGAAATTTACCTTGGGTTCAATGAATGGGCCAAACAATGAAGTGGAGTACAACTCTTACTCCACCTAAAATTCAGTATACTATGAACCACATCATAAAAATTGGAAACTTCATTTGTTTCCTTTTCCTCATGCCTATATATAACTGTCTTCACTTTTTCAATCATGGAATCCCACATTTCATAGACCAAATGAAGAGTAGAAGCATCTGTGTCACATTTTCTAAGCATGCTATATATAGGATCTGTGAAGGAAAGAATATAGTCTAATTTATCCCACCATATATCATTTAAAATAAGTTCTTTCACATGGACAGCTTTACCAACATCATCTTCTCTATAACTATTCCATTGGTCACTAATGACCATATTTTGCAAAGCACGTTTCAACAACTTTAATCTTTTTAGCATGACAACCATTGATGCAAAACGGGTTTCAGCAACAGAAAGCAATTTAAGAGATGAAAACTCATTAAAAATAGCCAATCTCATAGAGTGAGTCATTATGAAAGTCTTGATAAAAAGATGCATCATCAACTAGGAGAGTGATCCAATGACACTCATTGAAAACATTTTCATTTCCATCAATATTTCTAGCTGCACATATGTTTTTCAATGCTAAATTCAAAGTATGAACAACACAAGGAGTCCAAAATACATGATGAAACTCAGCTTCAATTAACATCCCGGCTGCCTTACAAACAAGAGCATTATCTGTTATGATTTGAACAACATTTTTTGGCCCTACTTCATTAATTACATCCTTTATTATGCTGGCCATATAGTGTTTGTCCTTGTACACCTTAGAACCATCAACAGCCTTTAAAAATATTGGTCCTCCTTCACTTACAGCCATGAAATTTATCAATGGCCTTCTTTGAACATCTGTCCATCCATCAGAAACCAATGTAACTCCTTTTATAAGCCATAAAGATTTTATAGGTTGGAGCAATCTTTCAATATGAGATCTCTCTTGTTGTAAAAGACTTGTTCTTAAAGCATTATAACTAGGAGGAAGGAAACCACTAAGGTTATGGTTTGCAGCAAATGAATAAGAGCTAACATAGTAAGGATTTCTAGCAAGATGAAATGATAAGCCAGCTGAATAAAACATTCTTGCTATCTCTGCTCTAAGTTGATTTCTTTCATCCACATTAAAAGCCCTTTCTAGTGTACCACTTCCTTTTTTTTTTCTTTTCTGGGATAAGGTTGCTGGAGCTGCTGAAGGTAGTGGGATAGTTTTGGGCTTAATTTTATTCTCAGCTTCTTCACAAATTCTCTTCAAATCAGCCAAATACTCAGGAGTGACCTTAGGACAAAGAGCAACACCAGCACCCGATATTCTAAGTAACTGTGCTTTCACTCTTGAGTATGAATTTTTGACCACTTTAGCACAAAAATTACAACTCCATAACTTGTTGCCTCCTCCATCTCCTAGCTTATCTTTTATAGTGACAAATGCCCAAAGTGGAGCATGATCATCTTGAAATTCTAATGAACCAAAGTTACTTGGAATTCTAAAACTAGAGTCAGAACCAAAACTCATTTTTTGTCATCAAACACAGCTGTGAAAAAATGCAAGAATAATATTTTTACTTTATTGAATATTGCTATAAAATGAATAGAAAATATAAAATTATGAAAGAGGAAGTTTGTGAGATTTTACCACCACAGCAATGGAGAAAGAACGTTAAAATTGTTGCTGAAGTTCAGAGAAGAGAAGAGAAACAAAGTTCAGAATACACCCACTGACTTGAAGCGCTACAGCAATGGAGAAAAAATGTTAAAATTGTTGCTGAAGTACAGAGAAGTGAGAAGAGAGAAGAGGAACAAAGTTCAGAACACACCCACTGACTTGAAGCCCGAAAATCTCCTCCTTGATGAGAATGAGGAACTCAAGGTCTCCAACTTTGTCCTCTTTGCCTTGCCGGAGCAGTGGAAATCCGAGATGCTCCTCACGCCGTGCAAAATGACAGCTTACGTGGCGCCAGAAGTGTTAAAGAAGAAAGGATACGATGGGTCAAACCTGGTTGTGCGGGTTATCCTCTTCGCTTTGTTTTCTGGGTACCTTCCATTTCAAATGTCGAACCGTGAAGCCCATAATCCAACCTCAAAACGATGATGAAAATGGAGAAATATATGAGTTTTGAACCGTGAACCCTAGCTGATTTTTGATTTTTGGGTGTTCTGTTTTGTTCCTAACTCACGAATGATAGAAGAAATGGGAAAGTGAAAGACGAAGTGAAACTCCCCGTTTCAATTTTGTTGATTCACTCAATCTGAAAAAAAATTTTAGCCAAGCTGATTTGGAGCTGTTTCCAAGCCGTTTCCGAGCCGTATCAAAATATTTGGAGCCTATCCAAGCCGTATCGCAACCGTATCCAGTTTAAATTTAATTTTTAAAAACAAATTTAATTTTTGATACTTCTTGGATACGTATCTAAGCGTATCGGAAACGTATCAGTATCGGATACGTGTCCGATACGGGTACTTTGCTATTTTTGACGTATCTGGGCTTTACAGACTAAATAGCTATAGCACCATTGTTGGTGAAACTTGCTAGTGTATGTAACTAAGCAATGTGTTGCAGCCAACACTTTTGAGAACTCGTGATAGTTTGTCAGTTGCATACGACAACGTAAAGAAGGGCCATGGATTCTGCTATATAAAGTGGGGCCCAAGTGTTGATTTGGCAATATACAGCAGCAACTATGACACAACCATAATGATCCATCTCGGATGATGGTTCCATCCAAAGCCTGTTGTTCCATTTTCACAGCATCAAGTTTGACAAACATGATCTCTTGTGGGGGGGCCATTTTACTCACTTTCTTTCTTTCTTTTATTTGTTATGATTTGCAGCAATGAAATCTTGTAGTAAACAGGTGGCTGTCTGCCCCAAATTGAAAGGTTTAGGCTGAGTCAATACGAATTCGAATCAAATTTGAACCTCTATTTTAAAATGCAAATAGGAAAGGAGCATTTTTTTTACTCAGCCCGACACCTCAAAACTTGAACCAGACCAAACCAGCGTGATGCAGGTCCAATGATTCGTTTTACTGGCTTTAGACATTTCTATATTTTCATGTTGAACCTTCAAGGGATGAGGAAGAGATTTGGCTTTAAAGTACTGAGATCTGTGTTAGCATATACCCAAATTCAAAACGGAAACATTGATAATGTAAACAATAAGGTATTCGTAAAGTAATCAAGTTTAATTCATTAATTTAAAAATATTTGTTAAATAATTAATTTAAAAAATATGCTTGTAAAGTATAATTAATAAATAAACATAATTAAAATATAAATAAGTTAACCAAATCAAACTCAAATTATATATTTTTTTATTGTCAATTTTAAAATTAAAATTTTCCCATTTAAGTAAATAAAACAAATTTAAATATCTTTTTTTCCTGTAAATTAAACTTAAACTTTAAATGCTTACTTTAATTCATTAATTTGCATCCACGTAACATACTCCATGAAACGCAGGCCATGGGGTTGAGATTGTGACACCCTTACAACTTATTACGCCATCAATATAAATATAATATTAATATAATCCAAGCAGTAAGAAAGCCACATGTATGAGTTTATGTCTATTCACATTAATAGAAACTAAATACATCATCTGCACCAATTATCCAAATACATATATACATATCATCTGTCAAAATATACAGTCGTCCGGTCATATAAACATATATACATAGCTGATTTACATACAAAATAAAGTGGGGTCACGATATCAGAGACAACAACAACAAAAATGACCTCACAAGCTTTTCCCCTAGACCCATGATTATCAAAAATACCATTTCCTCCAAAAGTTAACAGTACTCTAGGAGTAAATGGAAAAGTGAGTCTCATGGGTACCCTGATGGGGATGGGGTATGCCCGTGGGCCTGTTCCATTTCTATCTAACAAAAAGGTAATAGTGCCAGTATGGGTGGACTGTTGTCGTTCCCAATCGTGCGCCCATCTTCTTTCAGGATCATATCTGACTGTGACGCTGAACTGGTATGGTGGTCAGGCCATTTGTGTCCTCACCTACTAAACATATTCACATACAACACACATATATGCTAAAAGGGTGAGACAAACTCATTTCAACCAAAGTACAGTAGAAAACACGTCAAGATATTTGCAATCATTATAGCAATTAGCAACAACTCAACACACAATGTACATGCCATGTATGATTCTGTGCATCACCTAGTTAATTGCTATACTGACACATGCATGTGGGCCCAAACCATTTTCTTTTTCTTTTTTCTCTTTCTTTCCTTCTGGGAAGGATCAGGAGTTCACTGTCACCAATCATTCTTGGTCATAACCATCTCATTAGATAGTTTCAAAGATATAGCTCAACTGATTCTGATAATTCATCGGGTTCTGTCAGGATAGTCCAGTTTTGCAGTGAGAACCGACAACACAGGGTTGCGAGCCCTGGCTTTTGCCCGGCTCAATCACACCCAACTATCCCCAAGACTAACCTGGAGTCTCCCCTAGATTTCGTATACTTCCCATCCAACACCATCATCATTACATGCTTATGATGCATGAACCTAATTTCAGTCTTTTAATTAGGTATTAAACATTTCTTTTTAATCAACAACATATATTTCAAAATTTTACCGACAATCCGGCAGAGTTTCCTCTATAATTCAGATATTTCTAAATTTTCTTCTCTCTGCAAAACAACCAGAAAATTCCAACACACTTCGAATTTTAAACAGAGCCTCACTACCACCACATTTCACAACTTTTCTTTCATTTCAATGGCTCTCAAATACCTTTTTCCAATTATCACCACATTTCAAAATACCCATTTAAAACAATTCTTTAAAATGAATTAAAATCCTTTAAATTATTTAAATATGTATATAGGTATATTTTAAATATATAAAAACTATTAAATAAATTTTGATCAAACCACTTGAAATTAAAGAAGATTTTTTTTTTAATATCTTTATTTTGCAATTCTCCAATTCTTTTCAACTTTCAACAGACCTTCTATATGCTCACTCCACATGAATGATAGTTCATTCCTCAAGTATTTTAGGTAATCAATTATTTATACTGAATTCAACAAACAATTATCATAGAAACATCATCACACATAAAATCAATTTCAAAAAGGAATATCAAACAATTGTACACTAAGTATGGAAATAATTATAAATTCCTTCAAATAATTCATATATACATAGCAAAGAATAAAACACTCATTTCTCAACGTTTTTCTACTATACCCGTGAAAATAGATATGTCCCCCTTACCTTGAAGTGTATACCGATTTTTTTCTCACCAACGACTTCTTTCCACCACTTCTCAAACCACGATCCTAACCAAATAATCACACATAATCATGATCAATGTTAAGAGGCATTAATCACCCAACCCACTACTAGTGAGTTGAAACTATCATTTTCTAATCTTCGCAAAAATGGCTTACGGGTCTTACAATTGTTTTCTATGATGTAAATGGAATACTATAAGCCTAAAGGTGATTAAAAATAATTATTTTTCCTTCATAACACTCTTGGGACAGCACCTCTAGACCAAGGGTTTTAAACCCCCAAATGTATTTTTAACAAAACAAAAAGCACCAAAATTATTTATTATAAAATATAGAAAGATTAAGCTAATTAAAACATAATTTAGAAACAAAATTTTTGGACAAAATCTCACCCTCATGCCACTGTTCCAGCACCCAAAAGAGGAAGAAAATAAAAAAATTAATCGGTTAAAAGTGTTCAAAATGATGAAAATAGATGGAATATTAAAAAAATTTAATGAACTTACTTGGAAAATCAAAAGATTAGAGTCAAAGAAGTTTCAAAGCTTTTGGAAGGAGAAGAAAAGCACTTACGGCAGCCAAGAGTGAATTTGATGAATTGATCTTATCTTAAATAGTAAAAATAATAATATAATATTAGAATTTTCACTAATTTTTTAATAATTAATTGAAATAATTAGATAAAAATCCAAAAATTTAAAAATAATCATGAAATATATTAAATATAATTATAAAATAATTTTTGACACTATTAATCCTTTAGTTGGTGTCCAAAATTTTTACACGCAATTTCTGCTTGAGCATATAACTAATTTACATAAAATTAACCAGAAAATTCAAAAATGCTCATTAATTACAAAAAAATTATTTTTATATTCCAAATAATATTTATAAATAAAATATAAATTTTTTATAATTTTTATTATTATTATTGTTATTTTTTTAAAATAAAATGTTATTTTTAGCATTATACAGCAATTTTAACCAATACAAATTGACACTTTTTGAAACTTAAAAATTTTAAAATTAAAAATTACCAAATATTTCTTAAAAATATACCTAACAATTTTGTCCAAAGCATCTCATGCTAATTCTATTCCAATTTTTTCCAAAAAATTAAGTACTATATATTAACTTAGAATTATATTAATAAATTAATCATTTAGCAAAAACGAGGATGTTACATAGATGATCACCAACATATTGTGGGCAGCATGTGAAACTCCGGCATCGCAGTATTCTTTCATGCAGGAAGAATAATGCTCCGCAACGTCCGCATAAAATTAAAATTGATTCTATGATTCATAAATATTTAAATAATGTTAATATTTATTTAATATTTTCTATCTCATCATATTATTTATTATTATTATTTCTCTCAAAGCTTCATAGATATCTATAAAACATTTTCCAATTAGAATACTTGACATTTCATGGTTACCACAGCATTCCACACACACACATATATGGTCTCCAATGATGACTGTCATCTTTCTGTCATGGGCTCAAAACTATCCAAATTTCTTAATTCCATTCTATTTTCATTTTGTAAAATTGATATTTCTTATGTTTAGAAAAAAGAGTTGGTATGAACCGATGAAGTGGAATACCGAACTCATTACCCTTAATTGACTTACAATATGTAATACAATTTTGCTAGGATTAGCTTTTTTCTTTAAAGGTTGATTTTCAACAACTTAATAAAAAAGTTAGAAATAAACTATTCTATTATATCATAAATACAAAAATATAAAAAAATATTTTACTTTTAGTTACTGAAAATTAATTTAAAGAGACTAATATTAGAAAAAATGATATATATATATATATATATAATACTATTTTTTTACTCAAAGTTTTTAAAACATTTTTTTATTTTTTTTCTCCACATCATTTGTTTTATCTCATACTTCTATCTTTTTTTTAATCTCTCTTATAAGATACATTTTGAGAACTAGTTATTGAAATAGCAGCAATATATGAATGTGTGTGTGTTTAATCATAATTTTATCTTATTTATTTTATACATTTTTGCTTGAGTTTGTGTAAATTACTTTATGAGATAAATTCTATTCTAAATAAATTAATGAAATTTTGTCTAAAAAAATTATATTTTTTAATATAATATCTTATGATTCTCTTAAGATATTATTAATCATTTATTTCATCAGATACTTAGATAAACTCTTTCTACTTTAATTGCCAAATGTAACGATATGCACTCACAAGATAACATAATTTCAATATAATTTCTGAAACAAGAAAAGGCAATCTCTTATCATATTGACAACTAATAGACAAACTATTACTGGTTTCGTTTTTGTCCCCCAGAAGAAAATTAAAGAAAAACAAAACAAAAGAAAAAGAGGCCCTGCTCCGGAGTACGAGCTGTTTGTAGGGAAAATAAATTCGAAACATGTTGCCTCGTAGTCGTAACTATTTTCATCCCCTAAGTCCAAGTGGCCTTAGACCCTTCTTATTCGTGAAACATGAATTCCATTCTCTCCTTATTCTCAGTAATTAAAAAAATCACAAAAGAATCGATTTACAAAGAAAACTATAAACAATTAACCAACGTTATATTCTTTCTCTTGAACCAAAGAAAATTGTTTCACGATCATTATTATCGTTTATTAATTGCAATAGCCAATCATCGTCTTATACATCTTGGAGCAGTAACTAAAGGCTAAATTAATTATAATAGAAAATAAAACATCATTCTAATTTTCTATCATATATAGTAAGTTAAGAAAACCAATAATACTAGGGTCTATATCCCTTCCTGAACCTTTGCTGCACTGAGCTATGAACTCTGCGACCATCTAAAATCTTCTGGAATTCTTGAGGCCTACAAGGGACTGCAAGAGCTCCTTGCTGTCTGAAACCATACTCTTCCCGAGCTTGTTCCAAGAGTTTCAAGAATGCAGGATCAGTCAAACACTCTAACTCAACAATAAACCTTTTTGTTTCTTCATTTTTTGTTGCAAGAACAACAAAATATCCCTCTCTAACATCATCTGGTGCCACACTTGTAGCTTCCAATACATCTTCATTGAAGTGTCTGAGTACAGGTGATCTTGTTAGTGAGAGACCCTTTTGTATCTTCCCAATAAAAGACCTAAGCATTTTCAAGTATATTTTTTTTCTTCTTGATAGGATATATCGTAGAACTTGGAGTTCTCAATATGCAAACTTTTGCTATTTATGCTGAAGCGCACGCGTAAATTCTTTAGTACAAATGCTTAACAACTTGCTAGTGGGTGTTGCCAGACAGTGCATTAAGTCCTTCTCTTTATTTGACAAGTCAAAATCTTAAACCGTGCTGATAACAAGTAAAATCCCTGATGGAAGGGATAGCGTTGCCGTGTGATGTGTTTCATTGTGAGTATTGTAATCGTTGTCACTCATTGGTGATGTTCTTCATATTATCTTTTTAATTATATGTCATCTTCTATATTGCAATGTGAATGGGGTCTACAGCAAAAACGCTTTCACTGTACGGTATGGATGATAGAATAGGGACCCGGGGACAAGCATGTGAGTGCAATAATGCATAACTGCGTGATGCTTAGATCCATTAAGAGTAGAGTGTGCAACATTAATAAAGTCTTCCACCCTTGAGTGCTTCAAGAAATCAATAATAAATTATAATAATGAAGTAATGCATGGATAGATTGAGAGGACACATGCTTATTAATTAAGACCGTTGTTGTCAAATATAAGGTCTTCAATTACTAGTTATTGCAGGACTCATCTTTGTTGTTGCTTAATGATTTCTCTTGTTTGGTACGTGAATAATTCTGGATTCTTTTGGCTAATTTGTTCCTTGATATCTCAATAACCAAAGCTTTAAGCCCATCTATGCATATTTATGTAGTACTATGCTGCAGTCAATAAACAGATCAAACAGAACCTGTTACATGATTTTTATCGAAAATTAAGTACTTGAATCAACGCATTAAATAAGCTCTATGCTGTCAATTTCATCGGGTTAAATTCTCATTTGATTGCAGCAACTTATTTTATTTACGCATATTTTAAAAGTAACACACTCATGGTTTAATGTAACAATTATACAACTCAACAAATTAATAACGGGAAAGAAAATCTTCCAAATAATGCATCTATCTTTCTATTAACTTAATTTTCGAAGCAAGTCTAATACATCATACTTAAAAACTCGTTACTGTAATTTAGAAATAATAAAATGCAAATAAGTTACATGGTTTGTGTCCCTTCTCACATGTATAGCGTTTTTTTGGTCAGCTCTTATGTATAGCTAGGCAAAACACATTGTTAATTGTGGGGCTAACATTAACCTCAGTAGCCTAAATAGGTCCGAAACATGTTAGATTTAAGTTTCAAGATTTGTATCCTAATTAGATTATTAAGAGTTATCACTTTTGCATTATAGCTAGTGCATCGTGAACACTTTGATCTAACAAGTGGTGTCTGACTTGAAACTACGAGTCCAATTTCCAGCAAGATCTAATGAACTAGTGGTAAGCGCTCTATCAATCGAGATCATTCATGTTTCGGGTAATTAAGCTAATAGCCAGTTAGCTCTATCAAATCGAGATTATTCATTTTTTGAATAATAAGCTGATAGATATATAGTGAGTAATTGATGTCAATTGCTTTCATCTTAATGACTTGAACCAAGTTGAAGTGCCTGTTGAAGAGAATCTTTTTAGTTTCACATTACCCTTCTACACACTTACTTTTACACTAGCATAGAGTTTATTTAGTTTTCTCTCTCTTCTCTGTGTGTTTTGTGATTTTATATTCTATACTTTCTCACGAGTGGTTCCCGGGCTCTTATTCTCCTCTCCCTTCTGCAAGGAAGTGAAAGAGCTCTTTGTCCAAAACCAGATTCCTCCGTAGCTCCAGTGGTCTTAAAGAAAGCTGAACGAGTTAATTATTTTGTGAATTCTTAATTACTTTCATAAATCACCTTTTTACGTCTTTATTTTTTATGGAACTGTCTAAGTTAGCTTATGGAATAAATAATTCTAGTTGAACTAATAAAATTAAGATATTATATTAATTTTTTATTTAATTATTTACAGACAATTTCTTTAAGCTAGATGAGATTATTTACTTTATAAAAAACTTAGATATATTCTTTGTCAATTTTTTTCCTTTTTCTTTTTATTTTCTATCGCATTATTTATCACTTTCTTTTTTTACTTTCTCTCCCTTCTATCCTTTTCTTTTTCTTCTCATCTTTTTTCACATATCCTTATTTTCTTTTCATTTCTTCATACTTTATAGCTTGAATAGCTAAAGATATGTCCCTGTTTTAATTACGTCTTCTGCCACCACTGTTGCTGCTGCAGTTTCCATGTGATCTCTTGAAGCTAAAATTGAGATACCCTTCTATAGTTGTACCTTCAAACTCTTAGCTATAACTACTTTCTTATAACTTTCTTATAATAAAGTTATGAACCATGCATAGATTTACTTTTGGATATTTTGTTAATTTGTGCTTTTCTGATGATTTTTTCTAAATAATACTTGTTCCACCATGTAACTAGAAATTTTAGTAAGAAAGATACGTTAGCTTCATTCTCAATTTGGTTTGTGGAGTTATGGTCTATCTGGAACTTTAGGAATGATATCATATTCAGACAACGAAGCTTTGATGAAGAATAGTTATTGAACTGTACTAAAATAATATCTTGGAGATGGACAAAACCAAAAATAGATGGATGTCCCTTTTCTTTTTATGATTGGTTCAGCGACCCTGTACTTGTCTATGCTTTTAATTGTTTCAAACTTATAACCCCATTTAAAACTCTCTTCTTTTTTTTGTAGACGGGTTGGGGCATCCTTTGTGCTCCTTTTAATGGTAAACCTAGAAGTTTGACTAGCTCGGCAGTTGGTGCAGCGAAGTTATGTTTAAGGAACCATAGCAATTTTACACTCTGAATATATCAGTAGCATGGTCGATTTGAATCTAATAATTTGCTAGTAAATTCATCAAATTTGTTTACAATTTTATGTCAACTGAAGGAAATGGGCTACATTCATTAACTCTAAATCGAATGTACTAATTTGCCTCCATCTCTCCCACACTGTCATCCCTTTGTTCTTCTAGAATCTTCTCTAGTTCTTGAGGGTGGCATGGAATTACCAGAACCCCCTTCTGTTTGAAACCATACTCTTCTTTTGCCCTCTCCAGAAGTCCCAAAAATGCAGGGTCTCTCAAATAGTGCAAGTCAACAACAAACCGTTTAGTTTCTTCACCCTTGTTAGCAAGAACCACAAAATGTCCATCCAAAACGTCATCTGGCACCTCCATTGCTGTTTCCACTGGATCTTCATTGAGGTTGTTGTTGATTGTAGGTGATGATCTCCTTGATGCAAGGACTACTGAGAGACTATCGTGTATCTTGCTAAAGAAAGACCTAAGCATCATGAAGTTTGTAAAGTATATTAGTTAATTAAACTTTTTATCAAGCTATGCTTGAAAGTTAATGTTTAGAAGAGCTTGTAGTTTCATGATTGTAGAATTGTAGATATTTATAATGACCAAGTGTATTAGATGGAGAAGTAATTCATGGAATTTCTCTTGACAGCATGCTGTGGAGCCTTTGCTTATTGGTACAGAAACATGCACACTTAATGCAACATTTAGACGGTCCTTTTCACCTTTCTGGACTCGTGTATAGTCAATAGGCGTGTATTCCTTACGCGTTCTCTCCAAAGGAAAAATGCTATAATCATAAATTGAAGAGTCCCATATGATCAGCACCTTGGATTTGAGCCCTTTGCTTGACTTTTATGATTAATTGGTAATGAAATCTATCATTTTCAATATGTGTAGCTATCTTAGCTCGTTACCAAAGGAAAATAAATGAAGCTATTTGGTTATAGCTGCCACGTACGAAATTACCTTTGACATGTTCTGCAAGTTGCACCGCTATAGCTGTTTTATTTTTTGTCATCAATATCACTTGGATGAGCGATCTTCCGGGCAGAGGGGGGAGGCCCTAGGATAGTACGTTCAATCAAATATTTGAGCATCTTCGTTCGAGTATTTATGATTATTATCTAGTTCTTCAATCATGTTCTTCATAAACAACAAAGTTGTGATACAGTGAGTTACTACTGGAAACTAGCTTTCTAATTTGGAATTTCAGCACCTTTGAGTATTGTGGAATATTATTAGGTGAAGTGAAGTTGCATCAGATTTTGATGGGAAACACACGTCGTGTGTATCTCCATCATGGGAAGCCAAAGCGTGATAGGAGGCATTCCATGAAGTTAAAGCGACTTGTCATTCAATGCAACCTTTGGCTGGCTTTGTAATTATACGCGGGAATTCAGAATTGGGGTACTTTTAACCGTTAATGTATGAGTCAATCATATTCAATGTTTAATTTTGAGAAATTCAACAATATCAATGCTACAAACTTATGATTGTGTTAATGATGGAAACACTTGTATTTTAAGTGTTTTTATTATTTAATTAAAATTAAAGTTTTGTTTTAGTAATTAGAGTGTATTTTGAAGAGTTTATGAAAAGATAAAATTTAGGGGAAGTTTCATAAGTGTAATTTGTTCACGAATTAAAATTAAAATTTTACTTTGATAATATATACAATAGCATTAAATATAATTTTTTATTAGAATAAAAGTTTAATTTTAATTAGTCAAAAATAAAAGTTTAATTTTAATTAGTCAACTACACTATAGCACCTATAAAACAGTATATAAGTTTTTTTCTTTTTAAAAATATTTAATAACTTTCATAAACTCTTTTTAGTTTATTTTAAGATTTCTATATATGATCAACAAAATTCATATCATAAATTTCTGTATAAACGGTTATTTAATCAACACTTAATTAAGTTACTTATTCAAATGCCTTAGGTAACACATATGTATGAGTTATTTGGATAAAATGTTAACTTCAGACTTTATAATTTAGTTTAAACAATTAGTAATGGTAAAATTTTATTAAAAAATATCTTACTTTATTGATAAAAAAAATTATTACATAAGTACAATATTTTTTTTATCTCAATTACAATAAATGCTTTCTTTTCTTTCTGAACTTTACTATATCTTCCTACAAATTTTCATACTTTAAAAAGTATGTATTAAATGAAAAACAATTACAGGATTAAGAATTTAAAAATAATAAATAACTATTAAAAAACATAGTTATTATATTAAAATATAAAATATAACAAAATTTTATTTTAATAAAATTTTATTATTATAAATTACATAAATAAGAGTTAATGGTAGTATTTTTTTAATAAAAAATTACATACATGTATTATCTTAAAAATATAAATATCATTCAATACTTTCTTTCATTTAGTAATTAAGTAAAATTTCTAAACATAAAAGACGGAAGAATTCATACATATTGTTTCTAATAAAAAATTAGTATTTTTCAATATTTAAAAATAATAATAACATTTTAAATACTACACCTATATTTTATCCTTTATTTTAACCTAAATAATACTATAAAAATATGCCCAGAATACTGGAATCAATCATCTCTGGATAATTTAAATTTATATTAATCTCTCGTTTATTAAAAAAAATTATACATTCTAAATACACGTGATTAGTGGAAGTGACTCTAACTTTACTAATGATGATCCCAACAGACTATGGAATCTTCTAATTTTTAACTTTCAATAGGGTTTATTTATTACGTGAGGAAGTTAATTGTACTGAAGTTGTCCTTACAGTAAGGAAACAGAACTATTTTACAGAATATTTTGCCAAACCATACTATTTTAGATGTATTAATTTGTGAACTATTTGTTAGCCTTGTTATTTCTATTTTGATGTATCCTATTTAAAAGAGTTGTTCTCGAGTTCTTCCTATTGAAATAAGAAAGCCTCATATGTTTCCGATATATATATATATATATAATTTGCTGTAAGTTTTTTGAATTAAATGAATTACGTACTCTTACATGTTCTTTAAGCTGAAACTTTCATCGGAAACCTTGTAATTTGAAATTATTCAAACTCCTGTACTTTCCAAATAGAAACTCGAACAAACTATAAAAATGAAAGTTCAAATAGCATTGAGTGTCTATGTTGGTGAACATCTAGTAAATATTACTCTTGGATTATTTTAATTTTTAAAAAAGTTAAATTAAGTGAATTATATTTAAAAAAGAATTATCTCAAAATAAAGTCGTTTTTACTTTTAATCAAAATTACTTTTAGAAGCAAACTTGATTTTGGTTTGCTGTAACCAAGCATGCAAAAAAAATTGCAACATCACATTTATGATATGTTTCCCCAAATATGCAATGATTTTACTTGATTGCACGATCATGTCCCAGCTTTAACCCATGTTTTATTACTAGTAGCTACGTATACGGGTTGTACTTCGAAAAGCATTCACGTAACTCGCAGCCTGTGCAGGCTTGGTCCAGATAATTGGGAGTTTATATGCTAATCGACCTGTGAAAAAGATGTTTGTCAAAAAGAATACAACCTGCGAAATCTGCGGGTTAAACAATAAGCTTGATCCAACCAAATAACCCATATTCACCCATATAAAATACGTTAAAATTATAATCATAAGATTGTTTTAAGCTCGTTGAAATAATGATTTTATCGTTCCTTTGACCAATTAGAGCAATTAGCTATAGCCATATCCACATTGGTATTTAGAGTGATCCTATGAAAGATTATTTGCTATGAAAGATCTTATGAAATCTGTGGGGTTGGTGGTATTGGTGGGATGGTTGGAAATGCTGAAGGAGTGTTACTTTGGGCTACTTTTCCAAATCGATTGGGACCTGTTGGGCGTGCGAGGGTACAGGCTCTCTTTCATATCCTTTATGAATTAGAATTGAAGAATATCAATATTGAAAGGGATTCCTCTTTCCTGTGGTTTGGGTGAACATAGTAATAGGCTCTGGAAATTGATCAACACTTGAATAAAACAGATGATGTTATGATATCTGTAATTGTGTAGCAGTACTTATAGAAAGCAGAATTCTTTAGCGGATTCTCTTGCCAAACAAGGCTGTTTGAAAAATTAAAACATTGCACTAAAGATCATTTTATGTTAATTTTCTCCTTCTTGAGCAGAGTGTTCTCAAGCTCTTTTTTTTTATATACTTATAATACATTTTTAATTATTAACTGAAAAGAAATTTATAAGAGATAAGAGTACTAAGGATAGTCCAATCCAAATACAAAATAAAAAGGAAGAACAAAAATTATACTGAATTAATACATAATCAAAGTTCCTGATCCTAATCATCGAAAGAGAAAAGAAAACCATCTGCTCTAGCCTTATTCCAAGAACAGCTCCTATTTACCTACTTTGATAGAATCTAGTTAGCACTTTCTCCAAGACCTGTACTCTATATTGCTGCATCATTTCAGTACAATTAGTATTGTGTGATTTGACTAACAATTGCAAAATATATACTCTCAATACAAGAATCCCATGCATAAAGCTCAGTCATTTTCATTTTTGGGAACAAAAAAAACTCTAATTATCCACTAATGAGAATAGTCCCCTATGTATCTCGCAAGTTAATAATGTTATCTAAGACCTACGCAACTCCAAGAATGTCCCATCGATCTTTAAACCTGCATATTTGCACACCTGCAGATATTCTCGTGCTTTTTTTACCTTTTTGTAATTTTGCCACTTGCAGCCTGAATAACTGGTAATCCTTCATTTGATTAAATTATTTCTTTGAAGGAATTTTTTTAAAAATTTCATCCGTTAGTGCTATAAAAGTTTGCAATTAAATACTCTTTCTAATAGTCTTAACTAAAATTAAAGTCTTTATAAAATATTTCATCAACTAATTTTTTAAGAACTAACTAAATATATACTAAAATTTATAACACATAAAAATTACTATAAATTGCACACCTTTTGTAGATATCTTATGAATTAATCAGACTCCTTGAAAGCTTGTTTTCTTGTAAATAATGCTTTTACTGCTAGCTTGCACCTAGGCATATATATAATCTTTGATATTATTTATTGTCTTGCTCGTGAGATTGTTTCCATTAGGCATATATTATTCAATCAAGTAATTGTTGTGCCAAATAGGAGTTGAACGATTCTCAAGCTTTTCTTTCTATTTCTTTCCCACTGACTTTGTTGTATAATTGATGTAGGAGGACGTGTTATTATCTTCTTTAAGTGGTTGATTAATTATGTTTTTCTTTATCTTTTTGTTAACTTCTTCTGTATATCAAAAACAAACAAAACCATTTTGCAGACATGCATTATTTCAAGAACATAGTCTTGTTAATTTGTGAAAATATGTGCACATTTATTTTTGCCAAGAATGTGGTTTTCTTTTATAATCCCTTCCTATGACTGAATTCCTTGTTAAAAAGCGTATGAAGTCGGAGTAATAAGTAAAGAGGGAATTTTGACCTTATACAATACTGACAACAGTCTTAGCCTTTTACTTTAACACTATACTATAATTTAATACACATACCAATTGAACTTTATTCTGATGTATATACAATAATATATATGATAAGTTCTAAATCTATGATGAATTACATAATTAAATAGGCTACCAAAAAATACCAATTATCCATTTAACCCATCTTTATAAGACCAACTTTACTAATTAATAAAAACTCAGGCAAAATATTCTAACACTTTTATCTTAAAATTATTTTTAAGTTAAAAGATTATAAAGTAACCAAATAGTCTTAGTTTCACTTTTAAAGTTTGTAATTTTTAACTTTAATATTTTGGAGCTTGACCCACACTCTATTCACACTGGAGTCACGGACAACTAAAGATAATAAAATTCTCCTTATTAAATTTTAACATAATTATATTTAACTCATAATTATTTATGAAGGTAAAATAACATGTTATAATTAGTCTATGGCATTTGTTGGTATTTTTATAACTTCAAAATGAAGAAAAAATATATATTAAGATGAAAAGCCAAAACAATCTTAATTGTCAGCTTTTTTTTTTATTTGTGTTATAAAGAACAGGAAAATTGGAAAGCCACAAACTACCATTTAATTTTAATATGCTTTCTAGTAGTTATTCTCTACATTTGGAAGAGGACTGGTATCCTTTCTTCATCGATGTTGGGTACTCTATGCTTTGGTACCATTTAGAATCTTCTGTAATTCTTGAGGCCGACAAGGGATAGCAAGAGTTCCCTTCTGTCTGAAGCCGAACTCTTCCCGGGCTTGATCCAGCAGGCCCAAGAATTCAGGATCACTCAAGTAATCTAACCCAACAACAAACCTTTTGGTTTCCTCACCCTTCACAGCAAGAACAGCAAAATAGCCTTCCATAACATCATCTGGCACCTTTGTTGTGCTATGATCTTCACTCAAGTAGCTGAGAGCTGGCCTTCTCTGTACAAAGAGTGAGAAACCCTTTTGTATCCTCGTTACAAAAGCCCTAATCATATCTTCAACTTTGTGTTCTAATAGTGAAATTATTAATTACTTACAAAAGTTTGTGACTTGGGTCTTCCTATATGTAGAGTTTGGTTATTTATGCTGAGAACACACAAGAAATTTCTTGACTCTAGCTAGGTGATGGGCCACCTACTATAAAGTGGGTGACGCTTACTTGGCATTGCATTCATTGCCAATTTGCCATTATTTGACGGGTCCTCTTATCTTTTTGTAGGACAAGGACGACCAAGCTATAATTTGTTTTTCCCTCTCTCTAGCTTTATCTGATTCAATTTAATTATTATAAAAAAAAATTAAGATCTTATCACATTAATATAAATTTAAAATTTTTATATTTGATCTAAATTTTTTATTTAATTTATATCTAATGAGTTATAATTTATTATTTAGTAGCAGTCAGATATAAATTAAATAAAAATTTCAAATCAAATATAAAAAATTTTAAACTTATATTGATGTTAAAAAAAAATTTCAAAAAAATGTATCATTTAGTATTAATTTAATCTCAACTTTAGAAGGAAAAAAAATTAGTTTAACCTCATTATTATTGTCTTTTAATTAAAATTAAGTTATTAATATAAATAATATAAGTTTATGTTAATAATAAAATATATTATGTTAATAAATAATTTCATTAATATAAAAAATACTCCTATTAAAAAAATATAATGAATTTTTCCATGTTACAAGGTTATGTCCCTATTTGGGTGGGCTCATAAATAAATCTTGTAAGAGAAGAAAAGCAATATAAATGAATAATTTTTTTATATAAATTAAAAATAACTTTTTTTAACATTTTAAAAAAGTTAAATGAGAGTAACTTCTAAAAATAGATATAAAAATATAAGTTAATTTTAACTTATAAAAAATTTATACTCATTTTTTATATTATTTTTCTTTTCTTGTGTAGACTTGTTTATACATCATAATAAAGATCTAACTTTCTTCAGTTATATATCTCTTGCATGGTTGACATGTTGCTCATTAAACTATCTTATTTCAATGCAACCGAATATTCCAAATAACTTCGTACCAATCAGGTCTTCTTTATATTCTTATCTTCTTTTAGGACATATTCCTCTCATTAACAAGACTCATGCCTCGGAGAGCAAGAAAAATTAAAAGCCAAACCAACTACACTTGTTTGCCACACATGCATATATAGAAATATCACAGCCAAAGAAAAAGGTGATAAGATGATTCAGGCATTGTATTGCACAAGGGACATAATGTTGAGACATAATCAGAAAGCACAATTCTTTTTGCCAAGTCGTAGGTGGCGATTCTATCATGAAATAAACCATCCAAAAGCCAACACATTACCGGGGGGGACTAGAAACTAATAAAATAATTGAATGTATAGTGTTTCTCTTGCTAATTATATACATATATTAAAACATGACAAACAATAATTTGTAACCTTAAATAGGGATCTTGAATCGAAGTGTAAAAAGAAATAAGGCATACGATGTATAACAAGTGCTGTAAATTATCAAAAAAAGGTTGCTTGTTCTAATGGCGAAGAATGAAGTTTTTTCTTTATTTAGAGCACAGACATCTTTTACAAAGAATAATTTTGTTCAAACTATAATATCTTAAACTGAAATAATTTCACAATATTTTATTTACATGTTAAGTGATAAGAGGAATGGAGTTTGAAACTTGTTCACTTTCAACTTATAATGTTTAAAAAACACGGTTTGCATTGCCACGCCATCAATTTTCACCATTTGTTTGGATTATTTAATTAGCTTTTGACTAACTTAATATCCAATGAGTTATAATAGTAATTTGAATCAGTCTCTTAGTCACTTTCTACTTCAATTGAACTGATTGAATCGGTCAAATTTTTAAAATTATGAGAAAATTTAAAATTTCTTTTAAAAATATTTTTTATTATTAACCGCAATGAAGACAAAATGATCACTCAATATCAACTATCAAGCAATAATTGTCACTATTTTATTATTAACTTATTTAATGGGAATTTTTTTAACTAATATTCATTAAAAAAGCACAAATAATTATTCAACAAAAAAGCAATACCCACCTACACATTTTTTAAAAACAATATATGTATCGTTGATTTACAATCTTTAACCAATTGATAAAAAAAATTGTTAAGCAGAATAATCATCATTTTTTTCAAAAATATTGATTATAAAATTAAAATAAACAATTTTGTTATGATAATAACGGTAGCTCGTATCGTACTACTGACCCCATTGGTTTTTGCTGCAAAATCAAACTCACTGTCAGCATAGACACCTTTATAAATTGGATATCATAGAATTTTTCATCAAATTGGCTGAGAATGGAGTGAGTGAAGTTGCTTTTTTCTTCAAACAGAAACGGAATTACCTTTTAAAAAAAACAAACACAACCAATACAAAGGATAAAATTCGTGTGTCAAACCAGACCAGGATCCTTCTCTGCGATCAAATTTCATAAAATCATTCTTGCAGAATTACCCTCTAATGGCTCAACTCATTTTTATATAATTTATTAAATCTTAAAAATAAAATAAAGCATAAAAATTTATCTCATTTTCTCTTTCCGACCGAAAGAGATTACACATTCGTGTGAAACCCTTTAATCTTTTTAAGTTCACAACTTTCCTGACGGGACCCTGGCTAAAGAACAAAACTGGATCATCAATGTCTGTTGGCCCTTTACTTTGTGTCTAAATCATCTATAGATGCCAACCTCTCGTGTCTTCAATTCATGTGACCCACTCCTAATCTTAAGAGCCATTAATCAATCTTTACACATTCAATATCAGTTATGATTTTTCAATTAGAATATTTTTATGTCATTCCTTTTTTCATTATTTTGTATAATTATCTTTACATTAAGTATTTAATTTTTTAAATCTTAATCTTGATATAAAATTTACATTTTTTATTATTTTTTTTTAAAATAGTATTATATAATATAATAAAATACTTAATAATAAAAAAATGTTGTTTTAAATTTTTATTTTAATTCAATGATACTGGTTATTAATACATTTGAAAGATTTTACAAGAATTTTATGAAATTAGTTTATAACTTTCATAATTTTTTAATTTATTTCATTCATAAATTTATTAATGTAACTCATCAAAATAATTTTTTACTTTAATAAATTTAATAATTACTTTTATATCACAAATCATCATGTAATAAAAACTTTTTAAATAAAACTGTTTATTTAAAGGCACCTTAAATAATTAATTGGTGTAACAACTTCTTTAACTTTTTATAGAAAATATTAACATAACTATATTTACTTATACTTTAACTCAAGACTTCAGTTAAGCTAAAACAATTTTTTTTATTCTTTATCATATTTTATATGAATCAATAGATTAAATTATTAAATTTGTCAATGTTTGATAGTATTGTGGATCTTTTAATCTTAATATAAATGACTTATCTTTAATTAGACTTAAAAGATTAGTTAATTATAAATATGTTAACATATTAAATTTTAAGTAACACAAAATAGTAATATTTTATTTAAAAATAAAATACTTATCACACCAAAAAATATTGAAGTGTAATGAATATTTTTTTAAATAGAATTTTAGTAATTTTAAATGATTAAAATTAATTCTAAAAATGAATATTCATAAAATTGTTAAAGTATTTAACAGACATTTCTCATTATAAAATAAATAAAACACAAGTTTGTAATGTTTGACCAAATGAAGTGTGAATCACTCCTCGCTTAAGATGTCACATGTTTATCATTGATCTACATTGTATTGAGAGAGGTCTTACTTCTTACTTTGATACCACATGTAATATCATGATCATTGTTTTGTCCACTTTTTTTTAAGATTGACGAGTTTCTCCATAAACCACCACGATACTTTTCAAGGTGTTTAAGTCAAGTATGCTTACATTTAGAGTTTTTAAATGATAAACTGCTGAAAAATAAATATATTTTGTTAGTGTAAGTAGTATTAATTAATTTATTTAAGTTATCATCAACTGTATATTTACATACATATACAATCATTGAATTTCTTTGGTTCTAGTGTATATTTAATTCATTCATGTGTCTTTCTAACTAAAAGTCCATCGGAATTGCTCATTGTATGTGTCTCATTTCTCTTTGGATTAGTGATCACTCTCCACCTTCGTTAGCATTCCAGATGGCACATATCCACCAACTGCTGCTTAACATCCCGACTTTTACTCCATTTTATGTGAATATAATCGAATGCACATTTCACAAAATATATGTTTAAGTAAATATGTTGATGCAAAACAACTTTGTTCACCCAAGTTCATGATCTAAGTTAGTGGGAATACTTTACTATTATCCTTTTAGTAATAGATATAATTTCTTGTTGTTTGATAAATTTTATGATTTTATTCAATAGATTTTGAAATATAAATTTTTATGGTATTTCACTAAATAGTTATTTTCATATATTTAATAATTACCTAAATTAGTATTTTCAATGAGGTCAAGCACAATTGTTATTTTTCTTAAGTCAGAAAATAGCTAAAAGAAAGAATGAGTGAATTTATTAGATTTTGTTTGTTTTTTATTTTTAAAACAATTATTTATTTTTATTTTCTTCTTAAAAACAACTTTTTAAAATTATTTTAAAATATAATTTTTAAAATTAAAAACTAAAATGGAAACAGACAAGCCCTTAGTGTTGAGAAATTTATCTGAGGACCTTCAATAAAATGTATCGAATTTTTTACTCTTGAACATAAGTAGAGAGAGTAACCTTTCATTTAAATTTGAATTGCAAATTTAGTATACCCCAATGGAGGTGGCTTAGTGGTCGAACTGCTAGCCCTTTGAACTTGAATTAGGAACAGGTATTTCAAGTGAAAAATAAGAAAACAAATAAACCAAAGAGCGTTATACTTTAATGTTGGGTCTAGAAAACACATTAGGAGATGTGTGATATTTTGTGATTATGTTATCATTATTTTAATTCTCTAATTGAGACTTTTATGCTTTTAAAATATGTTTGTGAATGTATCGTGATAACGATGATTATCAGTTTTCATTGGTTAATAGTTACTTTAAATTTGGATTTGATTAAAAGTTATAAAAGTTGTTTTGATTGAACTTTTCTATAAAATACTTTGTGAAGATAAGTGTATGTGCTTAATGTATTTGAGAAGGTTGTCCTCCGTGATGTGTTTTGTAAAATTAAAGGTTTGGCACATGAAACTTTGTAGCATAAAAGCTTAGAACGTGCATATAGGCATAAACATGTAAATCCAATTGTATTCTATCGCTTCTTTTAATAATAATAATAAAGTTTGAGGAGTTTGGTAACTTTGGCTGGACTTCAGGTAGAAGTGAAGCTAAAAGCCAGAGAGCCATTGCTAAATTTGATCAATAACAATAGATAACAAGCTTATTAGGCTATTTTAAATACGGCAGTAAAAATCAGGCCCTCAGAAATATTGTACGTGCTATCACAGAATCATGTAGTGTGGTAAACTTTCGTTCCCATTCTGGTCTTTTTCCTTTGGGAACTCTCCATCATTCGACAAACCAATCGCTATATTGCTAGAAGACCACAATTTAGGTAATGCTTTGCAGGTCTTATTTGCACCAGAAAACGGTCAACGATACAGAACAAGGTATCACTGAGCTTGTTCATACATATCTGTTCCTAACCAGCCATAATTTTCACAGAAAATTTAAATGCAATAAAAAAGAGGCCCACATTTCCAGTGCCCATGGTAAAGAAAACCAAAGCCACGTATTCCGGGAACCATTGCAAATTTACAACGCATTCTATTAGCTGAACCATGACTGGGGATATAGCTGAAAAATCAAATCTATCAACTTTAGCTGATAGCTAAATATGCAACACTGGAAAACCCCAATGCATGCAACACTGTCTCCCTTCACATGTATCATTTCTAACCCCCAACATCAAAATAAGTTAAAAGTATTAAGTACACACTAACAAGGCATGAGTGCATTATCAAGTACCTGGTTTCTGGATTAACGTGGAAGAATGAATATCAAATAGTTGGTTTGCGTTGGAATTGAGTGCCGGGGTCATCATCGGAGGGGAAAACCTGAAGCCCCGTCACCACAGCATCGGGAGGACCACGGCGACACCTCTGCTCCATTTCCTGCACCGCACCGACACTTCCCGAGAACAGAGCCTCCACAGACCCATCCTTCCGGTTCCGCACCCAACCCTTGAGCCCTAACTGCGTGGCGTTTTCAATGGTCCAGTTCCTGTACCACACCCCCTGCACCCTCCCCTTTATCACAACCCTCTCCTGCACGCCACATTCATTCCAATCAACATCCCAATCCCAATACATAATTAATTAATTAATTGAATTTGCCTCTGCGTACCGTTTTGGTAGAAGAGGAATCAGAGGAACCTTGAGGAGTGGTCATGGCAGAGAGAGAACGTCGAAGAGGAAGAACAGAAATGCGACTTTGATGGAAATGGAAGAGTCTAGAAGCACTAGCAGCGTTGAGACCAGATGCCATTGCTATTGCTATTAGCAGCAAATCAAAATTCGATTCCCGTTCTTTCTTCTAGAGAATGGATTGGGCCTGGGCCAAGAGAAGCCCAAAGTTAAATTGGGAATTTGGGAGCCCATTGCTGGTTGGGAAGGGAACGATGAGGGGGAAGTATGTTTTGAGGGTGTATATGTCGGCGAAGCACATGACGGCGAACGTGGTGGAGGGGAACCAAGGGAGGGTGGTGGCGAGTGCGTCGACTGTGGAGCATGCGATAAGGGACGCGTTTGAGTGGGGGAGAGGCTGTAACGCCAAGGCGGCGGCGTCCGTCGGGGAGGTACTGGCCATGCGGCTGAAGACGGAGGAGGCGCAGCTGGGAGTGGGAGGTGGGGTCCACATTGACGTCGAGAAGGAGATCGAGAAGAAGGGTGTGGAAAGCCAAGCCAAGCTTTGGGCCATTGTCAATGCTTTGAGGAACAGAGGCGTCAAGGTTTTCACCCTAAAACATCACAGTTGAGGTTCGTATTCATCCCAGAAAAGGAAAAATCTTTTCCTTTATTATCAGAACGACTAGTTTGGTTCCATTTTCTCTTTTTTTCTTTTTACTTAGCTAAACACAAATAGTTTTTTTGTGTTATATTGAATAATGTTAAAATATATTACATAATTAATCTAGACTTTTGTAATAATTAGTTTTGAATTTAATTTTGATATATTGTTAATGTGAACATTTTTATATTCAGCTAATTATAATATACAATATAAATTTTAAATTAATTATTAAAAATATTATTATATACTGATGATACATTAAAATCAAATCTTATTTAAAAGGTCTTATAAACTAAACAAGTTAGTGTATTCAAGTAAAAACTAAATTAGAAATTGGTCGTCGTCTTCTTTTAGTTTGTTTCTATAAATATTTTTTGTTTTATTTAGGATTATACAGCTTAAAAAATCAGGTTAAAAGGACCCACTGGCTGGTCCAACACATTGTGGGCTTGCGAAAGTTCGAGTTGGGCTAAAATTAAATCTAGTGGAATTTTTAAAAATTTGACACATACATTTTAATGTACTAAACAGGCTAACTATTCAAACTCAACCTACTTTTACAACACATTTAGAATGTTATTATATTTAGACCCAAAATAAAAAAGTGATTATACAACAGTTTAACCATACAATGTTGCAAAAACTGCGTCCATCAAAACATATGCTCATTCTTCAAAGATTTACTATAATTTTGTTTTTTTTTTTGTGCTTACATAAAAAAAATTCTTAAATTTTAATTCATCCACGGAATGATGTTGAATCAATCTTTATCATTTATCGAAGTTATAATGATGTTAAGTTTGATCCTTAACTTTGACACTTCTTTTTGCTTTAATCCATCTATGAAGAAATTATAATTCATTTTGGCTCATTCAGATAAAAAAAAAAAAATTAAACTTTGATCATTACAAATGATATATCATTTTTTGTTTTAATCCTTATACCCAAAAAAAAAACTCTAAAACTATTATAAGTTTAACAAAAAAAAATAAGGACTACTTCATAATTTCATTTATGAAGACTAAAATTTAAAATATTCTAGCTTAAAACTAAAACCAAAAAGTGTTCTTCAAAATATAGGTTGTAAATTTCATGCTTTTTTTCATTTGGAATTAATAAAAACAGATGACAGAGCAAAAAAAATATGATCAAACAACATTACTGTATAATATTAAATGCGTATGAATGAGCAAAAATGCTCTACAATGTATTCATAGCTTTTCCAGAGTCAGTGACTCCTCCAGATACTATCTATCCTCTAACTAACTCACCATCAACATATCTCTCTCAATACAATCTCTCTCCTTATATTCTCCCCCCATAACACGTCATACCCTTCTAACTGACTAATCATTAGTTGAATGGTCCACCTTCTTCCTCTTCGTATAAACCCGTCACACCTTGGGCTTCACTAATTCTCCTTCTGGAGGCCCATTACTCTCTTTTATACTACTGTCCCTACTTAGTATCCTATCATTGCCCGCCTCTATAATAGCAGCCTTGTCCTCAAGATGCAGCCAAGGAAATTGACCATAGAGTAACATTTCATCCTCCCAAGTAGTGTCATCAACAGACCTATCTTTCCATTTAACGAGCCATTGTTTAATCACTTGACTTGCTGGAAGAAATTCCCTGCATGCTAACACGGATTCAAGTTCTTCCATGTCATCTGGGTCAATATCTAACTTTGTTGGTAATGTAGGTTCAACAATATAGTCACCAACAACTTTCTTAAGCTGAGAAATATGAAAAATAGGATGAACTCGGGTCGCCTCTGGTAGCTGCAGTTTATAAGAAACAGAAATGATTCAGGCTACTATCGGGAAAGGCCCATAATATCTCAAAGCTAATTTTGGATTAATTCTCTGTGCTACAATTTGCTGCCTATGAGGACGCCGCTTAACAAACACCCATTCCGCAACTTCAAACTCCATGAATCTTCTTTTCTTATCCTCAAACTTCTTCATTTGTTGTTGAGCACGCAATAAATGATATTGTAATTGTCAGAGGGCCTTATATCGGTCCACTAACTCAACTGCTACCGCTTCCACCTTTGTTTCCCCTTGGGCAAATCGCACCAATGGAGCGAGTGTCCTTCCATAAACTACTTCAAAAGGAGTTTTGCCCATGGATGCATGAAATGTGGTATTGTACCACAATTCTGCCCATGGTACCCAATATGACCAATTTTTGGGCTACTCTGACACAAAACATTTGAGATAAGCTTCTAAACATCTATTCACCACTTTCGTTTGACCATCGGTTTCCGGTTGATAAGCAGAACTCATCTTCAATGTGGTTCCCTGCAAATGGAATAGTTCCTGCCAGAATAGACTCATGAACAATGGATCTCGGTCACTGACAATTGAGTGGGGTATGCTGTGAAACCTAACCACTTCTTTAGCAAACACTTCAGCTATTTTTCTTGCTGTATAAGGGTGTTTGAGGAGTATCAAATGTCCATACTTAGATAACCGATCCACCACCACAAATATACCTTCAAATCCCTTGGATTTAGGCAACCCAGTAATGAAATCCATGAAAATATCTTCCCAAACTCTATCCCGAATTAGCAAGAGCCGTAACAACCCTACTGTGGAGGTGGCAGCATACTTATGGTGATGGCAAATATCACAGTTTTTGACGAAATCTTGCACTTTTTTCTTCATGCCCACCCAATACAGATTTCTAACTAGTCTTTTATAGGTTCTCAAAATCCAGAATGGCTACCAGCATAAGATGAATGAAATTCCTCCAAAACATGAGGAATAAAAGGTGAGTTTGCTTAAATAACCAATCTTCCTTTGTACATTTATACCCTTTGCTGTAAACTAAATCCATGGTGAGAAGTAGCACCTTGTTGCAAGTCACTCACCACCTTTTGAAGAAAAGGGTCAACATTGCATTCCTCTTGTATTTGCTGCCCCTATAACCAAATTGGCATTATGGATATCTCCAGTAATTCCTCTTCTTCACATACACGAAATAGTGAATCAGCTGCTTTGTTTTGAGGTCTCGGCTTTTATATGACTTCAAACTAGTATCCCATCAATTTTGTCATCCAATTTTGTTCAGCAACTGTAGTAATTCGTTGCTGCAGCAAGTGCCCCAAACTCTGTTAGTCAGAATACACCTTGAACTTCTACCTACTAAATAAGGCCTCCAATGTTGGACTGCTAACACAAGAGCCATCAATTCCTTCTCATAAGCAGATTTACTCAAGTTATTAGGGATAAAGCCTTACTAAAATAAGCAATTGGCTGCTAATTTTGCATCAGCACAGCCCCTATTCCAGCCCCAGACGCATCACACTCGATCTCAAAAGGTTGAGAGAAATTTGGTAAGACCAATAGAGGAGCTTGAGTCATCACCTTTTTCAATTTATTAAACGTATCTAATGCTGCAACATTCCATTTGAAACCCTCCTTTTTTGTAACTCAGTCAATGGTTTAGCAATTTTGCCATACCCTTTAATAAATTTTCTATAATACCCAGTCAAACTGAGGATTCCCCTTACACCTTTAACATTGCGCATAATTGGCCACTCTACCACACTTTAAATTTTTGCAGTATCAATAGCTACTCCTTGATTCAAAATCAGATGACCAAGACACTCTACTTGCCTACTTTCAAACACACTTTTTTTTTTATTGACCACAAAGTGCTGTTCTTCCAAAAGTTGCAAAATAGCCTTTAAATGCTCCAAATGCTCAACCCATCCTCTATTATACACCAAGATATCGTCAAAAAATACCAACAAAAATTTTCTCAAGTAAGGTTTAAAAATATGGTTCATGGGGATTGAAAAGTGGCTGGAGCATTGGTTAGCCCAAATGGCATAACCAAATATTTATAATGCCCATCATGCGTCCTAAAGGCTGTTTTATGGACATCTTCCTCCTTCATACGTTTTGATGGTATCCTGATTTTAAGTGCAATTTAAAGAAGTAAGTAACACCATATAATTCATCTAATAATTCTTCTACTACCGAAATGGGATACTTATCTGGAACTGTGACTTTATTCAGCTCCCTGTAATTCACACACATGCGCCATGATGCATCTTTCTTCTTTACCAAAATCACTGGACTAGAGAAAGAACTAGAATTGTGCCTAATAATTCCTTGCTTAAGCATTTCGTCCACTTGCTTCTCAATTTCCTCTTTCTGGTTATACAAATAATGGTAAGGCCGCACACTTATCGGTTCAGCCTCACAGTGTAGTTCAATGACATGTGAAACATCTCTAGGGGGAGGCAGGTGTTGTGGTTCCTTGAACACAATAGGGAAGTTAGATAAAATTGTCTGAATATCTTGCAACTGTTCAGAAGACAGCCCCTGTTCATGCCTTACTTCACCCTTTTTCACATCATCCTTTATCAAGCTCTATAACGGAGCCACTACATTCGCATGTTTTCTGTCAGAATCCAGTTTTTGACCTTGTAATTCCACCCACTGTCCTTTCCAACAAAAACTAAGAGTTATATGTTCCCAATCAAACGTAACTCTCCCAAACCTCTGCAGGCAAATGACCCCAGTATCATATCCAAATTGCCCAACTCCAATATATATGGTGTTGCTATAGTAGGAAATTTACCCAACATAATTTTCACTGGTTTTTCTTGGTTCAACCTCCAATGCCAGTTCTATTACCACCTGTGGCGATATGAAATTATGACTGGTTCCATTGTCAATAAGCACCACTAGCGAAACACTGTTGATTTTTCCTTCTAGGCGCAATGTAGAAGGAGCGATCCCCTTCCTTTGCTCCGTCGCCACTGCCCTAAACATCCCCATAGCACCGCAGTCTAATGTGGGCTCATGGTCTTCTTCCTTAGCTTCAATGGCTATCACTTCGCCGACCTCATTAATTGCTTCGTCATCTCCTAAAATCACCAGCCGCAACTGGCGCTCCGAGCACTGGTGTAAGGGGTGATATTTTTCTCCACACCTGAAACATAAACCTTGACCCTTGCGATTTATCAACTCTAC